AGATTTTTGTTGCTTTTTCTATCATCTACTGGGAGGCATTAAGGTCTCTCTGAGTATGATTATGGATCTGTCTGTTCCTCCTTTTTTTAGTGTGAGGAAGATCAGCCCTGAGCTAACATGCATGCCAATCCTCCTCTTTTTTTGCTGAGGAAGACTGGCCCTGGGCTAACATCTGTGTCTGTCTTCCTCCACTTTATATTGGATGCCACCACAGCATGGCCTGACAAGTGGTGTGTCGGTGCATGCCCAGGATCCGAACCCGAGCCGCCAGCAGCATATCGCGCGCACTTAACCGCTGCGCCACAGGGCCGGCCCCACTGTTCCTCCTTTTAATTCTGTAAATTGTCACTTTATTTATTTTGAGGTTATTATTGGGTATATACAAGTTTATGATTGTGATATCTTTATGTTTGATTGATCCCTTTATCACTACGTTATATTCCTTTTATCTGGAGTAATGATTCTTTATTTATTTATTTTTCCCCCAAAGCCCCAGTAGATAGTTGTATGTCATAGTTGCACATCCTTCTAGTTGCTGTATGTGGGACACGGCCTCAGCATGGCCAGAGAAGCGGTGGTTGGTGCGCGCCCGGGATCCGAACCCGGGCTGCCAGCAGTGGAGCGCACGCGCTTAACCACTAAGCCACGGGGCCGGCCCCTGGAGTAATGATTCTTGCCTTAAATTCTACTTTCTCTCATATTAGCAGAATGTATCAGTTTTCTTTTATGTGTGTACCAGTATTGGTTAGGTCAAGCATACCCATTGAATAGAAGTGATGAGAGCAGGCATCCTTGTCTTGTTCCTGATCTTAGAGGAAAATCTTTCAGTCTTTCACCATTGTGTGTGATGTCCTCTGGGTTTTTCATATATAGCTTTTATTATATTGAGGTAGTTTCCTCAATGCTTTCTTGTTTTGTTTTTTTTTCACTGTTTTCCCATATGCCTTGTGATTTTTTTATTGAGTGCTGGACTTTTGAATCTAATAACGTAGTAACTCTGGAAGTCAGATTTTTGCGCTTCCCCAGGGTTTGCTGTTTTTTGTTACTGTTTTTGTTTTTTGTTGTTGTTACTGTAGGCTGTCTCTGAGCCAAAGGGAAGCCTGAGGTTTAAACTTGAGGTCTTCTCAGGTCTTTTCTATGTGCATTCTGGGCATGTGTGGTTACTTTCTATTTTTCCCTCTATATACAGCTTTTTTTTAATGTCCTAATCTTTAGTGTCTAGCTCCCAAAAGGGGAAAGAGAAAAATGAAGAGGGGTGAAATGGGCACAGACTCCTTAAATCCCCTGAAGTCACTTAAGCAGGAGAGGTGGGGCTTGCAACAGTGAGGGGAGATGCAACAGTGGGGCTTGCAGCAGTGAGGGGAGTGGCTTCCTGCGTTTTTGTCTGTATCTCTGTGATCAGAATCAGCAGTCAGCGATCAGAGCACACATCTCCAATATATTTTTTTTTTTTATAATTTTATTTATTTATTTTTTTCCCCAAAAGCCCCAGTAGATAGTTGTATGTCATAGCTGCACATCCTTCCAGTTTCTGTGTGTGGGACGTGGCCTCAGCATGGCCGGAGAAGTGGTGCGTCGGTGCGCGCCCGGGATCGAACCCAGGCCGCCAGCAGCGGAGCGCGCGCACCTAACTGCTAAGCCATGGGCCGGCCCTCCAATATTTTTTTGACAGGCTTCTTTTTGTCCACCCTGTGCCTGCAAGCTGCTCCAGGAACATGTGCACAGCTGCCTGCCACATGGCTGGGGATGGGGGATGGGTAGCTGTTACTGTGCTAAGAGTTGAAAGTGACCAAAATTAATTGCAATTAAAATTAAAAACCACAAGTCTTCCATAGAGGTTGCAAGCGTTCAGTAGACTCCAGGATTGCAAAATAGTTACATCAGGCAGATTCTGTGAGTGTGGTTGTTATCGAGATGTTGACAGATTCCTGGTGCCCTCAACTCTGACATCTTCCCAGAATCCTCTCCTCCCCCTTAATTTTTGAAGGATATTTTTGCTAGTTATTGTATTCTAGATTGGCAGTTATTTTCTTTTGTACCTTAAACTATGTCATTCTGTTATATTCTGGCTTCTGCTTTTTCTGTTAAGAAATTTGCTATCAGTCTTATTGTTTCTTTGAAGATCAACTGTATTTTTTTCTGTGCTGCTTTTATGAATTTTCTCTTCCTTTTTTAGTTAATTATGATGTCCTAGATATAGTTTTCTTTGAATATGTTCCACTTGGAATTGACAGAATGTCTTGAATCTCTGAATTGATTTCTTTCATCAGTTTTGTAAAAATCTGTCATTCTCTCTTTGAATATTGCTTTTATCTCTTTCTTCTCTCATCTGGGACTTCAGTTACGTGGCTATTAGACATTCTGAGCATGTCCCACATTTCTCTTAAACCTCTCCTCCTCATCTTTCCCCCTCTCCCTGGCTTCCCTTTCCTCTCTCTTCTACTCTTCTTTCTGTCTTCTTTTTTTTTTTTTTTATAATTTTATTTATTCATTTATTCCCCCCCAAACCCCCAGTAGATAGTTGTATGTCATAGCTGCACATCCTTGTAGTTGCTGTACGTGGGACGCGGCCTCAGCATGGCCAGAGAAGCGGTGCGTCAGTGCGCGCCTGGGATCTGAACCCAGGCCACCAGCAGCGGAGCGCGCGCACTTAACCGCTAAGCCACAGGGCCGGCCCTGTGTCTTCTTTCTCTACCTTTTTCCATCAAGCTATAGTTTTGGTATTTTTTATTGAGTTATCTTTTAATCCTATGTCTGCTATGTCCACTTTACTATAAAACCAATATATTGAGTTCTTAATTTCATGTATTGTATTTTCAGTTCTAGAATGTCTATTTAATTATTTTTATAGGTCCTAATTCATTGATGCAATTATCCATCTTTTATCAATTTTGTCCATTTTTCTGTTTTCTTTAATATGTAAGAATTATTTTAAATAATTGTCCTTGTGTGTTAACTCCATTCCTGGATCATCTGTGGATCTGATTCTCTTGTCTAGTTTTCTCTTAATTATTGGTCATATTTTTATAACTTTGCATGTTTAGTAATTTTTTATTGTGTGCCACCCTTTGTATATGAAAGAACCGTAGAGGCTTCCGACAGTGTTACCTTCCCAACAGGGTTCCCATTTTTTTCTCCTGCTTTTCTCCTGCTTAAATGAGTGAGGGGCTCATTGCCTCCAATTAATCAGGGATTGAGCTCTTGTAAAGCTGTGTTCAAATTTAATAAAACTCAGTTTCCTATCATTTGCCTTGTTGGTTTTTTTTTTTTCTTCTTCTTAAATGGAGAGCCTCGTGAGTATCTGTATTTTTAGCTCTAAGAGACTTTCGGAGACCTAGCTCTACAGGAGTTCCCAGTGTAGCTTTGAAGTCTGCCTGCCTGCACTGCTTCAAAATCTGGTAGTGTCTTCATCATTCACAATTCCCAAGGTACAAAAAGAGTCACAGTCTCCTTGACATCAAGTGCCCCTTTGCAAAGTGTTGCTGGTTTCCTGTGTATCTTTCCAGAAATATTCTCTTAGTCCTTTTCAAGTTATTTCCCCTACTGCAGAACTTCTCATGAAATAAAAATCTCATGTCGGGGCTGGCCCTATGGCGTAGTGATTAAGTGCGCGCGCTCCGCTGCTGGGCCCGGGTTCGGATCCCGGGCGTGCACCAACGCACCGCTTGTCAGGCCATGCTGTGGCAGCGTCCCACGTAAAGTGGAGGAAGATGGGCACGGATGTTAGCTCAGGGCCAGTCTTCCTCAGCAAAAAGAGGAGGATTGGCATGGATGTTAGCTCAGGGCTGATCTTCCTCACACACACACACACACAAAAAATCTCCTGTGATTGACCAATGTAAGAGAGAAAAAGTCAGCTGCTGTGGTTGGAATAGGAGGTCCTGACACATCTTCAGTGTGAAAAACATTGGAGATTTTATAATGATAATGTAGTTTAACTCCAAGAGAATTTTATTGCAGTAGAAAAACCCCACATTTTGTAATGAACATATTTTAAAATGTTAATTTTCTTTTGGTGTTTTAGATTCAAAGTCATGATACAATTTTGAATCAAAGAGGTAGAATGTAATGTGGTCAGCAACTGCATGACAATAGTTATTACTATTGTAATAATAATATATAGTATACCATATATCAGTATATAGTATACTATATGAGAAAAGTATACTTTTAGCAATTTGGCAATGATTCTCTCGGATCAGAAAACTTTTAATATATTTCTGTGCCCAAAATTCAAGTAATAGCATTTTCTGTGTTCTTTTTAAAAACGATAAAATTTTCAGTTCTGTGAAACTCACCCAAAATGATTTTATAGCCGTTGATACTTATTATTTAAGCTTGGTTGTATACTACATATTAAAATTTTAACAATTGTTTGCACGTGTGTATGTGTTCACTGTAACGTGTTTCAAAAGTTGGAGTCATAGAATTTTTGGCTGTAGAGGACTTAATTTTATAGATTATTCAAGTGAGGTTCCAGCAAATTTTAAATAACCTGCTCAAAGTCTTAGAAATAATTAATGAGAGGGCCGGCCCCGTGGCTTAGCGGTTAAGTGAGCGCGCTCCACTGCTGGCGACCCGGGTTCGGATCCCGGGTGCGCACCGACGCACCGCTTCTCCGGCCATGCTGAGGCCGCGTCCCACATACAGCAACTAGAAGGATGTGCAGCTATGACATACAACTATCTACTGGGGCTTTGGGGGGGGCGGAATAAATAAATAAAATCTTTAAAAAAAAAAAAAAAAGAAATAATTAATGACAAATTTGAAACTAAAACTCAGACTTCCTGTTTCCAAATCTATTGTTTTTTAAATTAGGTTCGATAATAGTACACAGGTATATACTAGTTATTATAGAAATTTTTTGAATCTCTAATTATTTTTTAAATTAAACTATATTATAAATGTCATCAAAATTGTTTTTTCTCCTTTGTATTATATTCTTGAGAATGTTACCTCAATATTTCACAGTTTTTCATTTTCATTTTTTATACAGTTGGAAAATATTTGAGTCTCAACAAATGAATTCCACACTTGAACTCTGCCGCATTCCTGTGCCACCTCCTCCTTTAGAAAACTGATCTTAGAACAGAGGTAAAATTATAGAATTTAACTTAAAGGATAAAGAATGAATTTCCCATACAGTTAGACATGTTAGAATTTTTGGTAATCTTTGGTGGGTAGCTTCTATTTATTAAGCAGTTTTACCTAGGAGACTTCAGATGATCACATCTTAATTTTGCCTTTGAATTTTACTCTTGGAAGTGTTTCCTTTTTAAAAGTTGTGTCTTTTAACCTTTTTGTTGCCTAAACTTTACAGTTATTGAATTATCAAATTTACTCAGCATAATTGTATTATCTGGCTACATCTAGATCATTGTTGTCCAATAGAATTTCTTCGATGGTGTCTTGTCTTCTATATCTGTGCCGTCCAGTATGGGAGACACTAGCCACATCTAGCTACTGAGCACTTGGAATGTGGCTAGTGCAAGTAAGAGACTGAATCTTTAAATTTTATTTTATTTTAATTAATTTTAATTTAAATAGTCACATGTGGCTAGTGGCTACTGTATTGTACAGTATAGCTCTAGGTTTTTCCTTAGGGAATTTGGTATTTATAATAACAGCATGTCTTAAGTGCTTAAGTTTTAGACTTCTACCTTGAAATATCTTCATAGTTTTTGACGTAGTTTGAAAAGTTGCAGTAGCGAAACCATTTTTTTCCTCTCTCATATATTGTCCTGGTAATTGTATAGCTTTGTTTGTCCAATAATTTTGTTCCACTAGAAACCCTTGAAAGCAGTTATCATAGTTTTCTCATTGATATGTTAACTTACTTAATCTTTAAAAAAAAATATTTGACATAGGTACTTACATCATCACCATTTTATAAATGAGGAATTTGAGGCCACAGATTAGTTAGGTACTTTTCCCAAGGACACAATAGCTTGTAGGTCAGGGAGCTGGAATTTGAACTCAGGCAGTCTAGAGCCAGAGCCCATACTTTTTAACCATTAGGCTGTACTGCCTCTTATATTCTGATTCTCTGTAAATGGACAATTCCTGAAAAAGATATATGCTGACTGTCGGCTAAGACACAGTTTCTACCCATGTAGAATGGAGAGGTTATTGTACTTGCACAAGTACTATGAGTTTGCTTCCTGGTAGATAGGTATTGACCTCCTTCAGATCATGTTCCAACAGTTTATTATTTTGTTCATTACATTGTAGTCAAGTCTTGCTAATAAAGGTTGCCGTTACCATGGTCACCAAAAAGATAATCATTTTCTGTGATATCCTCTTTACTTTGTTAAACATACCCTAGGAGTGAGGCAGTGTGGGCCTGAATCAAGCTGCATCCTGGAATATCAGCTTGATTTTTGCTTTTAAATAGGGTTTTTAGGGGCCGGCCTGGTGGCATGGTGGTTAAGTTCACACACTCTGCTTCAGCAGCCTGGGGTTTGCAGGTTCAGATCCCGGGCATGGACCTATGCACCACTTATCAAGCCATCCTGTGGTGGCGTCCCACATATAAAGTAGAGGAAGATGGGCAGGGATCTTAGCCCAGGCCCAATCTTCCTCAGAAAAAAGAGGAGGATTGGCAATGGATGTTAGTTCAGGGCCAATCTTCCTCAACAAAAAAATAAATAAATAAAATAATTATATACCAGGTGATGGGATGGGTGTAATATACAGCTATCTTCAGAATTCTATGTTGTCTGCTTAAATAAAAAGAAAACTTGCAGTGTATTTACAACTGTGTTCATAGCTACCTCTAGATACTAAAAGATACTGAGCCTAGTTAGGAAATAAATATTTACAAAATTGCTCTGTAACCAGTACTATTCTATTTTTCAAAGGAATGTACTAAAATATATTTATAGGATTTTAGATTTAGAAAGTAACTTATCATTGTAAAAGAAAACTGAAACCCAAAGGGTTTAAGTGATTTGTCTAAGATCATATGAGCAGTATGGTTCATGATTCAGTAAATAGAGTCATGCGTCACTTAACGACAGGGATATGTTCTGAGAATTGCATCATTAAGCAATTTCGTTGTTGTATAAACATCAATTGGTATACTTAAACAAACCTAGGTGGTATAGCTTGCTACACACCTAGGCTGTATGGTACTAATCTCATGGGACCGTTGTTGTATATGCAGTTTGTTGTTGACCAAAATGTCATTATGTGGTGCTGTATACATTAAGTACATGCCATATGTCCAGATATCATAGTATGCTTGTTAGCTTTGAGTGCATAGTGAGCACTCAAATGTGAGCAAAACGGAAATGGACCCTGTTCTCATGGAACTTAAAATCTGGTGGAGAAGATAGACAATCAATAAGTAATAAGATCTGATAAACAAGGTACAAAATCCAAAGCTCTAGGAAGGAAATGAATCATAGTTGTTGGAATGGAAAATACTGGAGAGGGGAGAAAGGGCTGCTATTTAGATAAAGTGATCAAGAAAGGCCTGCTGAGACCACCACAATTGGAAGGAGCCAGCTATTTAAACAGCAGGAGTAGGGCAGCATTCCAGGCTGGAACAGCCTACACAGATGCCCTGAGGTGAAGGTGTGCGTGAGGCCATAGAGAAACTGAAAGGAGAGTATGGCCAGAACATAGAAAGCTGTGGGAGGAGTAGAATGAGCTATAAGAAAGGGGCTGGGTTACATAGTGCCTTTTTCAACCATAGCTTTTAGAGTGGGCGTTAAATTCAAATCCGAGTTCTGTCACTTAAACTGTGTTACCTTGTGTGGATCACTCAACCTCTTTACACTTTAATTTTCTTATCTAATAAATGCGAATAACAGAAGCTACTTCTTAGTACATACTGTTGTGAAGATTAATTATATAATACTTGTAGCAAACACTTATATAGTGTTTACCTTGCGAGAAGAACTCTTCTAGTACACAATAACTACGTGAAGTAAGTTCTGCTGTTGTCCCTCTTTTTGAAATGAGAGAAGTGAGGCACAGAGGGTTTAAGTATAGCTAAAAAGGGAGTAAGAAGGTTTTAAACATAGCTAGAGTAAGTGACCTTAAACTTAGACAATTTGGCTCCAGAGTCCACGCTCAGAGTGTGTCATGGGAGTCCTTGAAGTGGGTCTGTGGGGTGAAAACTATTTTTCATATTAATACTAAGACAGTATTTGCCTTCTTCACTGTCAATCTCTGATGAATATACAGGGAAGTTTTTCAGCAACAGATTGAATGCAGAAACAATTATTACATTTGCAAAAAATGTAAAACAGTGCTACTCTTCTCACTAATTTGTTTTTGTTTTGGAAAAATAAAGTTTTAATTTAAAGATGTTATTTGTGTTGACATGTAATGGACTTACTATTTTTGTAAATGAATTAATAAACTTTTTAAATGTAAGAGTGAAAGGGGAGTCTGAGACAGAAAGTTGAGAGCTGCTGTTATAAACCATTAGATTCTACTGCCTCTCATTTAAATCAGATAAAATGTAGAAAACAGCCAATATGGTATCTATACTCAATAGGCTCACTAATAACTTAATTTTCCCTCACTTTTTAAGACACTTTTTTTTTTCACATTTTAACATTTTTGAAATCAGGTTGTGTCTTATCCAAATAAACGTTTCAGCAACCATGAAATATCAGTAGTCTTCAATATTTGGTATTTTGAGAATTGAGCTTTGTGTATTCATTTATTTAGTTGTCATTTCAGTTAATATTAGTAGCACCACATGGGGTTGAATTTTTAATTGAATTTCCATTCCTAATTGTTTAAAATGTCTACAAAATGGTACGGTATAAAACAGCTTTGCACTAAACAATTGTCTCAGCAGAAGTTTGCCCAAGACATGCCAGTTAATTCAAAGACAGCAAAATTGCCAGATCTCTCAGTCTCTAATTTCAGACCTGGGCGAAGTTGGTGTGACTGATTCATACATCTGGGAGAATATCTACCTGTCAAAAGTTTCTGGGTGAATTTTAAAGAAGCTGTTAACTTCTATCTATATTTAATTTGGAAAAATAAAATTATTAAACCTAAGTAGAAAATGCCAGCAGAAAGTTTTGTTATGGCCAAAAATAAAACTGCCATTGCTGGGACCTGCCCCATGGCGTAGTGGTTAAGTTTGGCACCTTCCACTTTGGGGGTCTGGGTTCACAGGTTTGGATCCCAGGCGTGGACCTACACCACTCGTCGGCCATGCTGTGGCAGCGACCCACGTATAAGGTAGATGTTAGCTCAGGGCTAATCTTCCTCAAGCAAAAAAAACAGGGAAGATTGGCATCAGATATTAGCTCAAGGCTAATTTTCCTCAGGAAAAAAAAACCCAAAAAACAAAAAAAAAAAACTGACCTTGCTAAAGGTGCTAAATAAATTGAGTTCATGAGCACGAGTAATTAAATCAACATGTTTCAGTGCCTGCTGTGTGCCCAGCGCTTGGGATACGGTGCCTGTCCCTGTGAAGTACAGATTGTAGTGGAAAAGACAGACAATAGTAAGTAAACAAGTAAATAGGATAATTACAGATTTTGCTAAATGCTATGAAGGAAATGGACAGAGCGATAGGGGTTAGAGAGAGAAGGAACTAGGGGGAGTCAATTTAGTAGAATAGATAGGGAAGGCTTCTCTGATGAGGTGACATTTGAATTGAGTCTAGTCCAGTCATAATCAGAGTGCCAAGTGGCTAGTATAAAGACCAAAGGAGGCCAGAAATGGAAAGGATAATGTAAGGGGATTATGTGGATAAGCTTATGCTCTCGTCCTTTAGTTAAACATCTTTTTCATTTTAGTAAAGGATTGTTTCTTATTTTCTACTTAAATTTGTTAATAAATTACTGTCTTAAAATTAGTAGCATCATAGAGTTAAGGAAACATGATAGTGTTTGATTATAATTATTATTAATACCATTATATTTCTCTGTTTAAAGGTATTTAACTTGCAGTTATTTAAAAAATGGTATTAGTAGAAACTAAAGTGATTTGATGTGCCAAATTTGTGGTTATAGGAGAGATCAGATAGGAATTTAAAATAAGAAATTTAACTTGTTTGTGATACTTTTTTTTTTTAACTGAAGGGTGGTCATCAGGATGACTTGGAGAGCTTTTTCAAA